GTCCTTTCTTTCCTTCTTTCCTTCCTTCCGTCCTTTCTTACCTTCTTTCCTTCCTTCCTTCCCTTCCTTCCTTCCTTCCTTCCTTCCTTTCCTTCTTTCCTTCCTTCTTTCCTTTCTTTCTTTCCTCTCTCCCCCCCCCCCCGGAGTCGGTCTCTGGGTGCCAGGCTGTCCATCACTCAACACCCCCCCCCGCCCCTCCCCACCCTCTGCGTCTCCCCTCGGCCGGACTCCGGGCTGCCTCTTGAGGGGCGGCTGAAGGCAGCTCGGATCCCGCGAGCCTCTTGCCTCCAGCCGCAGCGGCAGCCTCCCCGAGAGCAGGAAGCGCAGGGCCGAGCGAGCCACAGGCGATACATATGTTGCTCCCTCGGGTGCCGCTTGATTTCCCTTGACTGGCGGCTCCCTCCTCTGCTTTAGCCTCCCGGAGAGCCCGGGGGATTAAGGCAAGGTCCCCCCCCCCAGCCTTTCTTCCTGCCTGTCAGAAATCCCCCAAATGCTGAGACCCAAAGGACTGTTTCTGCCAGGGGGGAGCTCTGGCTACCATCTTTTAATTCGGGCGACCCCCGAGAGACTTTGGGGAGTGGGAGGCCTGGCTGCCCCCTCTTCTCCCTAGGAAGGAAGGGAGGGAGGGGGGGGGGTTCTTCCCTGCCTGAGGCTCCTAGGAAGGAAGGTGCCACGTTGGTCCTGCCACTTCATAGCTATAATTACTAGGCCCGTCTGACTTAACCAAAGTTCTTGCTAAATCCACCCTCCCCCCCAAAAAAAACCTCAAAAACCCTCCCCAAGTGACTCGTCTTCTGTCGGTTTTGCTGTCAGCTTCTGAGACGTCCGCAAGCTAAACATCCTTTGACCTAAATCTTTGCCCGGTGAGTACCAACCCAGGTGGGGCTGGGCACTTGGCTTCTCAGGTCGAGGCAGGATTTGTGCCGCCAAGTCTTGTTGGGCTGGCCAAGAGCTCAGCTGCTGAGGATTGAGGAGGAAAAACTCCCCGGCGTCTCCCTTCCGGGCATTCGTGGCAGGAATGCAGGTTGCCCCCAGTGCAGGGAGGTGGGGGGGGGCGGGTGGTCTTCTAGTCCTGGATGCCCCTGCCTTGTGGGCTTGGAGTTGGGAGGCTGGATTTGGGGGTGCCGCGTCCTACACAGAGAATATGGAGTCGGGGTGAACTCTTGGGCCACTGAAGGTGGTGTAGATTCGGAGCCAGCCTTTTGTCAGGGAATACGGCTTGGGTCGTTGGCGTGAGTTGCCCGCAGCTGGGCTGTGGGTGCTTCCCCTGGGACGGTGGCTTCCGTGCGGCTGAGCATCCCGGCCTCCACCTTGAAGGGCCAGGCCTGATGGCCTCAGGGCTCCCTTCCCGCCCTCCAGATCCCGAGCAGGAGTCAACCCCCAAGCAGGAATGGCCCCTGTTTCCTAGCAACCGGCCACCCCCTCCTCTGCAGATTCCAGAAAGCCCTGGAACAAAAGACTCTTAAGAGACAGTTTTAAGTCTCCCCCCACACCCCTCACCCCCATTATTCTGCCAGCCGAGCTTTCCAGCAGCCCTGGAGAGGAGGCCATGCCAGCCCCTGCCAGGAATGCCCCGTCAGCTCTTTCTGTCTAATGGAACTGGCATTGATCTACCACTGCAGGGCTCTGGGCATCCGCACCAGCTCTGCTTTTGCTCTCTGCAGTGGAAGGGTGGGAAGATAATTGTGACAAGCACTCAACAACAACAACAGCAGCCCCCTGGCGAGGAGGGATGGGCCTGGAGACCCTGCGTCCAGCTGCTCCCTCTTCCGAGGAGGCCCCTGTCATTCAAGGGAAGAAGATGCAATGAAGGAGAATCTTTTGTGGCTCAGGGTTGGACCGAAGAGGGGTCTTTGGTACTCTCTGCACTGTTTCCTTGCAGGCGTTTCATGGCCCAACTAGGGAACAGCATCAGTGCCAGTGGTGTTTGCTGCAAATGCTCCATTAGCACTGATGGCGTTACCTAGTTGGGTCCTGAAACGCCTGCAAGAAAACAGTTCAGAGGGTCTTAAGGAGCCTTTGAAGGAAACCCCGTGTGGCCTGTGTCCAGCCCTGTGTCCAGCCCTCCCCTCCCCTCCATCCACCTGGGCCTCAGTGCCTGCGTCCCTCCGCAGAGCTGGGGCCGCGGTGTCCCTTGCATAGCAGGCCTAAGGAGCCAAGAGTCCCTTGGTCATTGTGTGAGTCGGGTTCTTGGGCCCAGCGAGACCATCTGCGGCAGCTGAAACCGCCGTGCTTGCAAATAATATCAGCAGCTGCTTCCGTGTTTACTTTTCATTTATTTTTGCCTCTTCTGGTTTCCAAAGGGAGGCTGGTGCTTCTTCTGTGCGCCAGTCCCTTCTCTACGTTGTTAGCTCAATTTGTTTTTCCCAAATGCCACCCCAAAGTTTAGTCCGAGTCCTTGATGAACAAAACCTCCGCCAATTAGCGGCATCCCAAAATCACGCTGAAGGCCTTCGGTGGCCTGGGAGCCTCAAAGGGAAGAAAACCGATCAGAAACGATGCTGGATTTCTGGGCTTGAGGATTTTCACAGTGCGGAGCAGAGGCACGTGGGAGCAGCCCTGCGCCGGCCTTTCGGCTTCCCGGGTGCCACAAGCGCATTCCTGCTGTGTTGTTGTGCTCGGCCTGGGAAACCGGAGGCTGCAGCCTCCCTCCTCCATAGGCCTGTTTTGATCGGGCGGACAATGGGCCCATTTTGCTGGCCGTCTGGGTCTGGGTCCAGGAAGAGGCCAGAGCCGCCCTGTAGTAAAATCGGCCTCCCGGGAAGTGTTTTCTCCTCCCGTCTGGGGCTCTGCGGCGCCTTCCAAGAGGCTGCCCCCTCACAAAGCCCAGCCACCACGCCTGGTGCTGGGCAGTTGGCAGCTCCGCCTCGGATGCCAGGAGGGCGGGAGGGCCTGCTGCAGATGCTGCCCTGCACGAAAGCTTCATCAAGATAGCACGGAAGGCCAGGAACGCCAGGCATGAGCCCAGAGCTGGGCGGGGGTCCTGTGAGGCCCAGGGATTCATAGCACCTGGGAGACTCACTCAGCCCGGCCAGAGAGGGGAGAGAAGAGGCCTGAGCAGCCAGGGGTGTCCTTCCCTTGTGGGAGGGTGCCAACGAAGTCTTGAGCACCCACTTAAATCCTGGAGCAGCTCCTGCTGGTTCCCAGCTTGGTCTGAGTAAAGTTGGAAAGCGGAGATGGAGGCTGGGCCTGCGAAGGGGTTTTTTTGAGACAACCACACCCCCCCCCACTTCCTTTCCTCCGCAGGGCCTGCCTTTACCATGCACAAGGTGGGCCTGGCGTCTCCGGATTTCTCTGGCCCGACCCTCTGCTGCGAGGAGACCCCGGACGCCTATTGCCCAGAGGATGACCGGTGGCAGAGGCTGCGCACGGCTGTCCGGAAGCTGGAGTTCTGGGAAAACTTCGAGGCGGAGCTGATAGGCAGTGGCTTCTTCTCCAAAGTCTACAAGGTAGGACATCGGCTGGGCGTGTTGAGCCAGCCCACCCACCAGGTTGCCTTCTGTGCCCGTTGCCTTCCAGTTCCCCTCCGTAGAGGGCTGGGGGAGTTGGGGAGCGGAAGCCCCAACACGCCCAGAAGGAGGCAGGCTGCATCTCTCAGACTTGCTTCTGGGTATTCGGAGGGATGTTTCTGTTGTGGTCCGCCAGCGAAGCTGACGGCCAATTCAGACAGTGAGGAGGGTTGGGGGGGGGGGGATCTGAGCCAGTCCTGGAGTCTGGGGAAGGCCCTGAGGAGGGCTCTGTGTCGGAGGCAGAGAGGGGACCAGGGCCATATGGCAGTTGTCAGCTGCCTTCAGAGTCAGACATCAGTGAGGCAGACGAACAGCTGGAGCCTGTTCCCAGTGTGCGCATGCGCAGAGTTGCCAGACGAAGGGAAGAGCTAAAGAACGGGTTGACTTGGGAGGAAGGCCACAGGTGGACGGTGAATGGCCCCTCCCAGAGGAAGCAAAAGAGGAGCAAAAGGGGAGTGGAGTTTGCAGGAGACAATCAGTTCACTTCATTGGTTCCTGACTCTCCGAGACTCCTTGCCAAGTTCTGCAGATATCAGCCTGACAGCTCTCCAAGCTAGATAAGGTCTGTGACCATAAATCCTCCCTTGACAGACTTTGCTGGAGGTGAAGGAGCAGAATTCACAGCAAATTAATAAAAGGGCTTTTTTGTCGTGACTAGGAGTTTGCTGCATGCACTTGGGAAGCCTCAGTCAGAACAGTTTCAGGCATCAACGTGCAGAGGGCACCGTCTCCAGAGCAGGCAGGGTGTTATGGAAACAGGGGACGGGGAAGAACCAGAGAAGCCCAGCTGGTGCTCTGGCTTTGAGCAGAAGATCAGCATTTTCCAAAGTGGCGTCAAGAGAAGAGAAAGGACAGTTTGTGTCTCAGGGGGTGCCAGGATTCTCGGGGCATCTGTCTGGTTTAGGGGCAGAGAAAGCGTTGCTTGTTTCCTAAGAGGCCAGAGTCCCTGTGTGGTGGGGCTTGACCCCAGGGGTCTCATGCCAGGGGTGGCCGTGGCTGGATTCTGGTTCTGTGAAATCGGGAGCTGGTGGTTCTCCGAAGGGAGGCGAGCCGTGAACACCAGGCGCTCTCTGCTCTGAAGGCCTGGTTGGCTTCCTTCCCCGTCAACGGAGGCTTCTTCCCTTCTCTCCCCTTCCCTGCTAAGCCTCACCTCCGTCCCTGGGCGCCTCTTCATTTGCCCATTGGCAAACGGTCCTTGCTCTCCAAAGCCTTTCTGGATGGGGCTTCGTGTCCCCCACTCCCAGAATCCCTGCAGGTCTCCTGCAGAAGGACAAAACCTTTCCCAGTCGAGACGGTTTTTGCTCCAGTTTGATAGGGTGACCTTCTGGAGCTTCCTAGAAGCCAGGGACAGTTGAGCCAGGACCGAGCCAGGACCTGCCACCGCCGGGCGGCAACTTTTTATCTGGCAGCCGAGGCGGCTGGTGCCAGGCAGCTCCGAGCTCAAGGATCCCTACGCCAGTTTCCCAAAGCCAACGAAATTTTAAAACAGGCGTTGAAACTCTGACCCGGCTCTTGGAGGAAGCCCATCCCGCCTGCACGCCCGATGCTTCACCCCGTCTGGCTCTCTGTCTCAGGCCCCCCCTTGCTCCCCCCCCCCCATCCACCAGCTTCTTCCGGCTCCTTCTCGGGCAAAGCCGGGCCCCTCATTGTGCAGCGCGCACGCAGGCTTTCCGCGGCTCATTGAGCGCCTGGTTGTCTCCGTCATTAACCTTCCCCTCCGCGAGTCTGAATGCCAGCTTGATTGCGATGCTTGATGACTTGAGGAGGGCAGCCATGCCTGCTGCCGCCTGCCTCCTCCGAGAGGGAGGGAAAGGCAGAGAATTAATGAGCAGCCCTTAAAAGCATTTTTATGGGGAAACGATAAAAGAAAGGCTCGGCTGGCTTAGCTGTTGGCCAAGGGTCCTGCCTCGTTTGCCATCCCCGAGAAACGGCCTAGTGGGTGTTTTATGGAGCTGGCCTACCAACATCAATCTTGCCCCTAAGCAGGGAGGGGGGGAGCGACCCACGCAGGGCAGCTGGGAGAATGGAGAGCCCCCCCCCCCCCGACAACTGCTGAAAAGAGGCGAAATGAGGCTGTCTGTCAATTCAACGCCTTCCCAACAAAGGGACCTTTAAAAACATCCCTCCGAATCCTTTTCAAAGGTTGCGATGTGATCCCGGCTTCAGCAGGAGGATCTCTCCCCCGCTTCTCCCCCAGATTACTCATCGCTTAATAAAATTCTCCCACTGCGGCTGCTGCGTGTTAGGAAGGGAAAATAGCTCCAGCGTTTCCCTCCCACCTCCCCAGAGCCCCCCAGGAGCACTCTGAGCACGGTTCCCAGGTGTTAGTCCAACTAACCCCAGCATTCTCCCACGCAGAATGCCTCAGACTTCTGCCCTCCTCGTTTCCATCCAGGTTGGCTGGGAATGATGGGAGACGCGACCCTCCCACAGGGAAGACTTGGGACGAGTGAGGTTTCTGAGTTTTATTCCTTGCAAGCTGCTCGGTGTCCCTTGCCTGCGAAATAAATCCCACCCGTGAATCTCGGTCCTTCTACGCCTGCCACCCGTCCTTCGGTTTCTGGCTGCAAATGCCGTTTCTCGGAGGAGTCCCGCTTCAAGCAGGCTTTGGTGAGCCCAAGGGACTCCCTGCCCCAGGAAGAGGCAGGAGCCGTAAATGCCCAGCGGCTGAGAGAAGGCTGGTGCAGCTGCTAATCCTTAGAGCCAACGGGAGCGGAAGGTGTTTGTCCTGATGCCCGTCTGCTCCTTAATTGTTGAAGCCAGGCGCTCTTCCTTTACTCTCTGGTGTCCTTCCCGCCCTTTCGGTGCCACATCTGGGCGGCTCTTCCAGAGGCAGCCCTGAACGTGTTAGGGGCAGCTACACCTGGGTGGGCACCGCCGAAAGGTGGACACAGCCGGCTGTCGATCTGAGGCCGCCTGCCCTCACGCCACCCCCCCTCTTCCGGCAGGTCTCTCCGCGTCCTGGCGCAAAGGCCATGGTGGTCAAGATCTACAAGAACGATGCCGATCAGGAGGGGATCGTGCGCGAGATCAGCTTGCTGCAGAAGCTCTCCCACCCCAACATCGTCAGGTAGGTCTCTGGAACCGATCCCCTGGGGGCTGTGAGCTCCCTTGCCCGCCCCCCCCCCCCCGGTGGATCTTCACCAGTGGTGGGTTTCAAAAAATTATCGAACCTATTCTGTGGGTGTGGCCTCCTTTGTGGGAGTGGCTTGCTGGCCATGTGACCTGGTGGGAGTGGCTTGCCAGCCATGTGTTTCTTTCTTTCTTTCTTTCTTTCTTTCCTTCCTTCCTTCCTTCCTTCCTTTCTTTCTTTCTTTCTTTCTTTCTTCCTTCCATTCTTTCTTTCTTCCTTTCTTTCTTTCTCTCTCTCTCTCTCTCTTTCCTTCCTTTTGTCTCTGTCCCTTTTTCCTTTTTTTCTTTCATCTCTCACTTTTTCTTTCTTTTTTCTTTTCTTTATTTCTTTCTTCCTTTCTTTCTCTTTCTCTCTCTGTTTGAGTAAGTGAGTGTGTCCGTGTGTGTTTGTGTGTGTGTGTGTGTGTGTGTGTGTGTGTGTGTGTGTGTGTGTCAGTGGTGGGTTTCCAAAATTTT